ACCAATTTGACAATAAATTTCATATTAAAAAAAAAAGAAATGATGATTTTAAAAAAGAATTAATAGAAGAGATAGAGGAGTGGAATCAGAATAGTAAAATACTGCAGTAGCCAGGGGCGCCTGGGTGGCTCAGTTGGTTAAGCGGCTGACTTCGGCTCAGGTCATGATCTCACAGCCCGTGAGTTCGAGCCCCGCGTCAGGCTCTGGGCTGATGGCTCAGAGCCTGGAGCCTGTTTCGGATTCTGTGTCTCCCTCTCTCTGACCCTCCCCCGTTCATGCTCTGTCTCTCTCTGTCTCAAAAATAAACGTTTAAAAAAAAAAAAATTAAAAAATACTGCAGTAGCCAAAAAGATGTTTAACCAAGTCAAATTTAGAAAGATCAAGAATAACTTAAAAGAGATCATGCTGACCTGTAAAGTTACAGATGCAAATTCTTTGTTTTTGCTATTTGCTTGCAGTTTCAACACTAACAGGACTAAATGTTCTAATTCCCCTTCCTTCACAACTAGTTGCCAGATTTAGAGCCCTCTGATCTGTGGCAAAGACCTTTAGGCAGCAAAGTCCCTATCTACCTGCTCTCTGCCATAGAGTCTTTAATAAAATGCTACTTTTATGTTCCAGTGAACAATGAAATTCCAATTAGAAGAATTTTAGTCTCAGAGACCTCTTAGAAATCCAGTCTGAATAACCAAACTTGTCCTGGGACACTAGCTAGTTCCATCATGTTTAATGGTCTTTCGTCTGAAATGCTATGCCTCTGTGAATTTTTTACATAGTTAAAATGATACCATAAATATCATTTTACTTGCTTTCATTTATTTGAACTTTTCCAGAGAAACAGAAGCAATGATGCAAGGAAGGCAGACAGAAACTCCCCAAAACAGAGAGCTGGGTCTATCTTTTGATTAATAGGAAAAAAGTAAATACCTCAGTGACATTCAAAAAATAGATCTATAGTAATCTTTCCCAGGAAATTATCAGTGTAAGTCTAATATTCATGGAAGACTCTGAGATAGTAAGCTAAATGGGAAAAATAGCTACACAAGAGGAAACTGAAAATATATGTAAAAAAAAAAAAATCATTATTTTCTAGAGCAAATGTCTTAGGCCATCTTAGGTCTATCTTACAAACACCCACTTGGTTTTTCTGCCTTCCAAAATCCTGAAGACAAATCTTCACATCTCTCGCATTTCTGCTTATCTTTTGAGCAAAAGCACTAACTGCCTCTGTTCCAGATATATCTTTTCAAGGATGTCTGTACACACGAAGATAGATTATCTCCCTCCAAAGCAAAAGGGAGACATGTTTACGGTCTATTACAAAAGATTTGGGTTCCCTAAATTCAGGGTTCTCTTCCTATAATGTCTTGTCTGGAAACAGAAGTCACCCAGCCCTCTTCTTTGTGTCACTCGGTAAAAACTGAGGCTCAAGGAACCTGTGCAAATGCTGCTGTTGTGGCTACTTCTGTTGCTATAATATTCTGTCCTCCATGATCCATAAATACCATATCTTCTGCAAGTACTTGGGAAAGCTTGCAAGTAGGGTAAAATCTCAGACCCTTCACAACTCTTGACACAAAAATAAAAGTTTGTGTTAAATTAGGTTGTTTCACTGCCCAACATATATTTTAATTAAATGGTACAATAGCATTAAAAAACTGAACTAAATAAACAATACTGCAGTAATAACGTGCTATGTTATATTAAACAGCACGTGAGGTGCCCAAAAGAACTTAAGCAATTCTTACAGAATCTTACATAGATGTAAATAATCAAAAGACCAGAAAAATCTGACTCTTCTTCGTGTCTCAAATGGCTATTTAGCAATTTTTGTCAATATTTTTAATTAAACCAGATACCTCACTCTTACTCTTATCTAAAGAGATACTCTTTAGTATCTCTTACTGAGATACTAAGAACTTAAACAAAAGAAGTAGTCAAATAATTTTCCTGTCAAATTTATGTCATGTAAACATAAAGTTTGATAATAAAGAAAACCAATTATTTTCATCCGACAGAGTCGGAAAACACAGACAACATACAGTTTTAAAAAGTATGTACAGGTGTGCGTGGGTGGCTCAGTCGGTTGAGCATCTGACTCTTGACTTTGCCTCAGGTCACGATCTTTGAGCCCCGTGTAGGGCTCCAGCAGGGGTAGAGAGCCTACTTAGGAGTCTCCCCCATCCCTTCCCTCTCCTTCTGCCCCTCCACTGCTTTTGTTCACTTGCACACACACACACAATCTCTCTCTCTCTCTCTCTCTCTCTCTCTCTCTCTCTCTCAAAAAATTAAGTTAAAAAAAAGCCTATACAGAGGTTGCTCAGTCGGTTAAGCGACCGACTTCGGCTCAGGTTATGATCTCAGGGGTCGTGGATTCGAGCCCCGTATCAGGCTCTATGATGACAGCTCAGAGCCTGGAGCCTGCTTTGGCTTCTGCATCTCCCTCTCTCTCTGCACATCCCCCACTTGTGCTTTCTCTCTGTGTCTCAGAAAAAAACATTAAATTTGTTTTTTAAAAAAAGCATATACAATATTTATAATTGTATACTTATAACATGGCAAAATGTCTGCAATTTCAAATGCAAACTACAGAATTTAGAATTTGGCAAAAATTCCACATCTATGAAGATAGCAAGAAAAAAAGAAGTAATTCCCAATGACAGAAAAGGCCAAAGAACAAAGACTGGAGTTTTCAAAAGTTAAAAAACAGTAAAACAGGGATACCTGGATGGCTCAGTCAGTTAAGAAGCCAACTCTTGATTTAGGCTCAGGTCGTGATCTCACAGTTTGTGAGTTTGAGCCCTGTGCTGGGCTCTGTGCTTACAGCACAGAGCTTGCTTTGGATTCTCTCTCTCCCTCTTCCCTTGCTCTCTCTCTCTCTCTCTCTCTCTCTCTCTCTCTCTCAAAATAAATAAACTTGAGTAAAACATAAAGACTGATTCTGTGAATAACACGGCACAACTTAACATATCCAAATGATTGGTAATACATATTTACCAATGATTTGACCATTTCTAAAAATATTTTCAGAACTTCTCTTTTTAATTGCTTTTTAAGATTATAAATCATGCGCAGAAAATGAATTGTTCAGGCTTTGATTTATCATTTACTTTAGTCTCTAGACAGAAATACTGAAGTCTACCTACTAATTCTCCAATAAATTTAAAATTAAAAGATGAAAGTGAGCCACTACTGAGTGCATATCAATCAAGAGTTGAAATAAA